TATTTCTATATATATTATATATATTACTATATAATATATATATATATATATATATATATATATATAGTATTCAATGCATAAACATATAAGTATGAAATCTTTCAAAAGTAACAAAAACTGTATAAGATATGTATGTCTTTAGAAAGTTTTACTATAGTCAAGGCAGTAGTAACTAAAATTTTTACTTCTAATAAAAATTATTCTTACGATTATATGAATATATTATATAAATATATTATATAAATATTAATTACAACGAAAAAGAAAGAAAACTTAGATAATATATTTTTTTATTAATAGAAAAAAGTAACCTAACCTAATCATTATCATTATAAAAATTTGTTGAATTAACTTTTTAAATTATAAAAAAACAAAAAATGTCTAAATTAACTAATATGTATTACTCACAATATGAAAGTTCTATAGAAAGTGAAGCTGCTTATGATTCTGATAATTCAGATACACATGAAATTTTAATAAAGTCACCATCTCATGCTCAATTTTATAAATATATTGAACGTAGAAATGATGAAGAATTATTACATGAATCTTGGAAATTTACAATACGTGAACAAATAAATCTTGCAACAGAGATTAAAGAGCAATGTGGTATGGAAGTTAATCTAACAGATAATCAAGTATGTTATATTTATAAACCTGGTATAGATGAAACTCATATACCAGGCATCAAATTTAAAATAACATTTATTTATATTAAACTATTGCGTAAATGGTACATTAGTTTAGGGCACAGTCGCCTTCCAGATGTAATAACACTTGAGAATAAAGTAAAAAGAGGTACTTATAATCCTACTACGCCAAATATTCTTAAAATGATACGTAAAATAAAAAATTCATTGAAAATTTTTGTACAAAGATTAGAATATATATGTAAAATGATTGAAGATGTAAAAGAAATTCACAAAGATACAGAATTTGAAGTAAATAAATCTTTGACCAATATTAAAATAATGTTAAAAGAAAATGCTTGGCCAAAATTCATAGAAAAAACAAGCCCGCAAGATATTATTATTCTAGAAATAGTATTAGATGTTGATTTTAAAACTGATAATCTTTCATATGAATATATACATAAAAATAATGTATTAACACAACAAAAAGAAATATGTATAACTAAATTAGAAAAAAAATTAAAAATATTTTTTGATTTTCCTTTAGTGGAAGCATTTAAATTGTTCATGGATGAAAATTTTTCTCTTGATGAAAAATCATTATCTTAATCATGTATTGCATTTCATTTAAAATATATCATATACATACAAATATATTATATTTTTTTATATTTATATTTAAATTTATATTTAAGTTTGCAATTGTTTTATATTTTAATTTAATAAGATTGTTAAATATTTTATTGAATTGTAATCTTTTTATTCTCCTATGTTATAATTTAAATATATAAATTATTATAAATGAAGACATTATATGTTAAAATAAATATATATATTAAAAAATATATTTAAAAATTAAGAAGTAATCATTTTATTTGTGTAATTATTTTATTATGTCATTATATTTTATATTCAAATGATCTTTTTCATTTATCTTTACTGTAAATCTTACTAAAATATAAAAATATAATAATATGATAAAATAATTATATAATTATATATATTATCATGTTGTAGTATTACAAAGTTTAAATCAACGTCCTGGACAATCTATAACTATGCAGAGTATGCAAAATAAAATACCAGGTATGGGTATGATGCCTGCTCAAACTAGTGGTCCAATGAATCATATGGGTCCAATTCAAACCATGCAAACCAATTCAATGTTAACACAATTGAATCCAATGAGTCAAGGAAATATGTCTCAGCAAATGAATCAAATGGTTCCCAATCAAATGACACAAATCAATTCAGGACAAATGCAGCAGAATATGCAAGTATGTATTTATTGAGAAGAATATAGATTTTATATATATATATATATATATAATAATAAAATTATATAATTAGACTCAAATGCAAAATCAACTATCTAATCAAATAAATAATCAAATTACTGGATCTATAAGTGGAATCCAAACAAATATGCCACAACAAATGAATCAGATTGCTCCAGGACAATTAGGCCCTGGTCAAATGCAACAGCAGTTAAGTCATATGCAAAGAAAGGTATATAAATAACAAGATAATATATAAACTTCATTATAAATATTTTTATATATATATTTTTATTTTTAGCAAGGTGAAATGATAAATGCTGGTTTTCCTGGGCCTCGAAATGTTACACCAACTCAATTTTTAGGTCAAAGTCCATCACCATCTGCTCCAAGTCCTGCTGGTTTAGGTGCACCATCAAGGTTATATTTTTTAATTCATTTGTTTAAATCTATCAAATAAACGTTTAAATTTGAAAATTAAAGTTATATAATAAATTTTATAGTAATCAAATGGTAGCATCACCAGCATTAGTTCCTTCACCTAGTCCACAACATGCTATGATGGCAGGACCACAACGATCTGTAGGTATGTACATATTAAATTAGCTTTTATAGAAATTATTTATTCTTATCTAAAATAAAAATATAAAATTTATATTAAATTAGGTATGGCACCATCTCCTAGCAGTTCCTTGAATACTCCAGGAGGTGTAGGAGCTACCCCAAGCCCACAACAAGAAGACCAAGCTTATAGAGATAAAGTTAAACAATTAAGTAAATATGTAGAACCTCTACGAAGAATGATTGCTAAAATGGGAAATGAAGGAAGTAAGTAATTTTACTATTAATATTAATCTCGATCATTTCTATGTAGATAATCATTTATGTTTCTTTATTTAACAGATGTTGATAAATTAAGCAAAATGAAGAAACTTTTAGAAATTCTATCAAATCCTAGTAAACGAATGCCTTTAGATACATTATTAAAATGTGAGGTAGTTCTTGAAAAAGTAGATTTTAAACGAAGTGATGCTAGTGTTGGGCCTCCAGTTACAACGTTAAAAGAACATCATTTCTTCAGTCCACTTTTAGAAGCAGTAAGCACGCATCTTCAGAGTCCAGTAGTAAATCATACATTACAACGTACTTTTGGTCCCTGTTTAGAAGCTTTATTTGGTCCAGAAATAAAGTAAGTGATATTAATTTAATATATAATTTGTGATTGATTGTATTGCAAGCATAATCTCATAAAATTTTACTTTTACAACTAGAAATTTACCACAACCACTAAAAAACAAAAATAGAAGAATCTCCTAGTGAAATACCAGATGTATTGCAAGGAGAGATAGCTCGATTAGATCAACGATTTAAGGTATAATCAATTTTTCTTTGCAATTTTATAATATGTATTTAAACATATATTATATATATATATATATAGTTAGTTGGACTCCAGCAAC